AACTGCTCTAGTTTCCCTTCCCTGAAAACTCTTGGATTTGGCAAATAATGTGTTTTTAAAAATGACTGCTGCTTAATGCTTCGTATTTGAAGCTTTGTGTTTGTATGCTTTGTATTTTGCTTCCCCGCTTTTCTTCGTCAGTGACTCATAACATCTTTATTTTCCGCTCTTTAGTTCCTTTCTTCTAAAATATGTATAAGGACAGACAATAGACAGGGAAAAAAGGCATTTGGGGATAATTATTTGGAAATACTTCTTTCATTCAGATATGGCCTAAAATTACCAAAAACATTCGACTAAAGAAAAAACATGTAAAATTCAAAAACCATTTTCAGTTTTTCTTAATCAAAAAATGTAAAAAGCAACATTAATATCAAGATTAAACATGCAAAGCACAAAATATTGAAAGAATTAAACATAAGAACAAAAGAATGCTATAATCCAGGCAAAAGATGACCATGAACTGTACCAAGACAATGGCTAAAAACATCCAGAAGGAATAGAAAAAAAAAAAAAGACTCAAAAAAGAAATAAGTAATAAAAATCTTCTGGTATTTAAATTTATATTCTTAAAAAACTAGTTGTTTTGAGAAAGAAGTTACTTGTGTCAATGATAAATTCTCATCAAGCAATAAATGAAATTGTTGGGAAAAAAATGCAGTGTTCTCAAGACAATGCTGTGGCTGTAGTATTTGTCCTTCAGTGTTATAGTTTATTACAGATAATCTCTAATTTCTTAGATTTTCATTTTTTAAACCATAACATTGTGATAGAATTGAGGACTACTTTTTAATGCATTAGAGTTAATAAAACTAAAATTAAAAAGCCTAAAAGGATCTTTAGTAACCCTATTATGAAAGCTTAAAAAAGAGTTTATTAAATTTCACGATAAGAAATATACTGATGAAAACATTAAAAACTGAAGTCTCAAGCTCAATGACATTCCATCGAAATCTATCATTAGTAGACATTTACATCACCCTTTACCACTAAAAATACCTATGTACACTTCTGCTTCTGTCAAAATAAAGTAGATGCATTTCACATACCTATTCCTCATGCTAAGTACAACTAAAATCCCTGGACACTGTACATAATATTAGCATAAGAAGCTTCTGAAAGGTGGAGAGAAGAAGGCAGACTGGCTGGAGACCTTAGGATCCTAGGAACGACTTGGTAATGAGTTCCCTGGGTTTTCATTTTGCCTCATATATCCCAGACTGGATATGGGGAAGACAGCAAGCTGGAAATGCCAATAGGTGCAGACAAAAACAAAACAAAACAAAAAAACTCCAAGAAAAGCCTGTTATCTAGCCAAAGGACCAGGAAAAAGGCAGACTATGCAAGACTGAAAACTTTTAGGTAGTAACTACTCAAGTCAAACACCACAGAAAAAACTATGGCCCCACCACCACCCACACTAGCAAAGCCTACACTTTCACCATTGCTGGGCTATTGCAAGGTGCCCTGGTCCTCCTGCTGAGGCGGTGTCAGAGAAGGCTGACTGGGGAGCCAGGACTTTTCATTCCCTCTGGAAAGTAACAAACCACATCCTCTGGTGTGAGTGGAGCCCATCTGGGGAGGCTGGCCTTCTACTCCCATCTAGTGGTAACAAGGCATTCGTTCCCCTCCTCACTGGGAGAATGTCAGAGGAGGCCTCGTGGAGAGTCAGGGCTTTTACCACCGCTCAGTAGTAGCAAGGCCACATCTACACGGGAGCAGTAAAGAGGTGCTCCTGCCCTTTCCCAGCCACAGGCTTATCAACAGAAGCCTAGTGGGCAGCCAGAACTCCCACTTTTGACTAGCAGTAACAAGAAGCCCTTCTTCTCTCCATGAGTGTCCATGGAGACTCTGAACTTCCAGTACTACCTGGAAGCAACAATGACCCAGAGTCTTAAAACATAGTACCCAACATGTCCAGATCTCAATAGAAAATCTCTCATCAAAGCAAGAACCAAGAAGACCTCAAACTGAGTAAGAAATAACAATCAACATGTGCCAACACCAAGAAAATGCAGAAGTTAGCATTATCTGACAAGCATTTTAAAGCCGATCATCATAAAAATGCTTCAATGAGTAATTATGAATTGCCTGAAACAAATGAAAATTATAAAAAGTCTCAGCAAAGGAAAAAAGGAAACAAAGAACCAAATGGAAAAAACACAGTAACTGAAATAAAAAATTTCATGGGATGGTTCAATAGCAGAATGGAGGGGATAAAGGAAAGAATCAGTGAATGGAAGATAGAACTCTAAGGATTACTCAATCTGAAAAACTGAGAGATAAAAGACTGAAAAAAAGAAATGAAGAGAGCCTCAGGGACCTGTAGAGCTATATCAAAAAAAGACCTATGATTTGTGTCATCAGAGTCCTGGAAGGATAGGAGAAAAGAGGGCAGAACTTCAAAAGTATTCAAATAAATCAGAGCTGAAAACTTCTCAAATTTGGCAAAAGACATAAGTCTACAGAATCAAGAAGCTGAGAATTTTCCAGATAGTATAAATCCAAAGAAATTAATTCCAAAACATATAACAGTAAAACTTCTGAAAACTAAAGACAGGAAAGCTTGAAAGCAGCAAGAAACAAATACCTTATCTGTAGAGAGAAAAACAATTCAAATGACGGTGGATTATCTGTTAGAAATCATATAGACCAGAAAGAAGTGGCACAGCATTTTTCAACTGAAAAGAACTGTCAACCCAGAATTCTATATCCATCAAAATATCTTTCAGAGATGAAAGGGAAATGCAGACATTCTCAGATGAAAAAAAAGAAAAAACCCAGAGACTGACACCAGCCGACTTCTCCTAAAAGAATGAATTTAGAAATTTTCTAAAGGGAAAGGAAATGATAAAAGAAGAAATCTTAGAACATCAGGAAGGAAGAAAGAATATGGTGGAGTAAAAATATGGGTAAATACAATAGACAAATGGAGATGGCACAGCTAAAGGGTATGGGGTTTCTTTTGAGGTGATGAAAATTTCTAAAATTGACTATGGTAATGGTTACAAATTATCTGTATTCATACTAAAACCCACTGAATTATGCAGTTTAAATAGGTGAATTGTATGGTAGGTGAATTATAACTCAATAAAGTTGTTTTCAAAATCAGCATAGTGATAGCCTGAGGAAAAGGGACAAGAGAACTTTCCGGGCACGATGCAAAACTTTTATATCTTGATCTAGGTCATGGTAACCCAGGTGTATGTATAAATTGTCAAAATTAATCAAGCTAAACCCTTATAAATAGTGTACCTACTCTTATGACAATTATACCTTAATAAAAATTACTAAGAATCTCAAATTTCTCTCCAAAATGCTTTTACCAATTTATACTCATACCAATAGTATTTTAGAATTCAGGTGGTCCACATCTTACAAATTGTAATATTGATAACTGACAGGCTAAATATGGGGCCTTATTGTGGTTTGAATTATCAACCCCTTATTGTTAGCAAGGTTGTTCATCATTTCCATTGGGTTTTTTTTTTTTGATATTCATGTTTTGAAAGGTAAGACTTTTCATACCATTTTACCAATGTTCTATGGCTTGTTTGAAATTTTCTTATCTCTTAGTCGCTTATGTATGTTACAAATACCCTCTCTCAAAATGAGTCTTGTCTTCCTTATTGTTATGCTGCATTTCAATAATCTAGAAATTTATGATATAGTCAAAAGTAACATTTAATCATGCAGTTTGCATATATGTCTGTGTGTCTTTTAAAACAAACACTTCTGTAACACAAATGGTTAAGTTTGTGTCCTATATTGTCTTCAATCCTCGTGGAAGCATGTGCATGTATGTGTTAAGAGGTAGTAGGAATCTAATTTTGTTTCAAAATTGTCTTTATTTTTTTCATATGGCTAACTTGTTTTTGTTTGTACCATTTATGATGGATTATTTCTGGATTCTTTTTTTCTGTTTCATTAATCATTTTTTCTATTTCTATGCCACTTATATGCTGTCTTACTATTACAGTTTTATAATAAATCTTGATATCTAGAAGGGTAAAAAAACACCCATTTATTTAGATTGCTAGTAAAATATAAGATAAAATCATGGTGTTTCTTGAAGAGAATGTTTTGTAAAGGTGAGGGTTTTTGTCTTCTAATTCCTCAGGATTTTTTTATTGTGTCAAACACAAACAAGTTGAAAATATACATCTTTTTATTTTCCAAAGTAATTTTTAAGGGTGAAAATTATTTTTTTGCCCTTAACAACGTATACTTTTCCATTTTTGTTCTGCCCTCATCTAAACAATAATGACTATAGAGGTCTACCAGTGGCACCTCAAACTTAGTTTCACTTTTAATTTTACATATCAGTTTGTTGTTTTTAATTGGACAGTTGAAAAATTACAAATAGGAAGTCAGAGGGGTTTAGAATACCAATACTTCCATTGTCTTTACTTTACTTTGAAGAGCCTTTAATTTCTGTCTAGGAGTGGTCATATTTTTGACTGGATAGCTTCTACTTTCTTTTTTTTTTATGTTTATAGCAACTTTATTCATAATGGCCTAAACCTTGAAGCAAGAACGATGTCCTCTAGCAGGTGAATGGATAAACAGTGGTACATCTAGAGAATGGAATTATCACTCAGCTCACTATCAAGACATGAAAACACATGGAAGGATTTTAAATGCATATTGCTAGGTGAAAGAAGCCAATCTGAAAAGGCCACATACAGTACTAGCCTCTGCTTTCTAGCCAATAATTGGGTACAAAATTGGTGGAATGCGACCTGGAAGAATTCTAGGCCAGATTTAAATAAGAGTGAGTACTTGCTTTCTTTGAATGTATTAATATATTTGAATATTTTTGAATGAGGGAGTCTCTATACTTATCTATTAATGGTTTAGACTTATCAACTGCTTTTTGTAGTTCTTTTTTGTTCTCTAGCTGTTTTGGGAATTAAGAGTAAACTATGGAAATTATGACTATAGTAAAAGTTTAAAAAATGATCCCATAAAATATTGAAATCCAGATAATTAAGACTTACCTCTATTTCTTTTCTTAATTTTTCATGTGCCTTTTTTTCTTCCTCAAGAAAACAAGTTTTTTCAATGATGGATTCTTTTACAGTTATAATTTTATCCTTTAGGTTTGTAATGTCTTCCTGTATGTTTATAGAATTTAAAATATGCACATCAAACAATGAATGGTCAATATAAATCCAAGATTTTCAGTGTTTCTGTAATTTAAGAAAACTAGCCATCACATTTAATTTTGATAAATAGGATTAGAATATTACTTCTATAGGTACGAGGAACAAAGAATGGTTATTCAAACAAGCAAACCTTAGGTTTGAAAATATAGAAGTAAAAACCAAATGAAAATAAGACATAAAGGAAAGTGGTAGTCACAGGGGCAATTGCCCAGCTACAATATAGAGGATATTTTTTAATTCTTTAGCAAGAAATAATAGATATTTTAAGTTTTTATCTCCCAACGTCTTCAAAGAATATTAAGAAAAAGATGCTTAGGGTACAATTATTAATTCATATTGTTTGTGTAACAGCATTAAGCACACTAAATTGATTTTAATTGGTCTGTATCCATTAGCCTGGAAGCTAGAGTTTCAACATCTTTGTGAGTCACACCTTCTGTAACAAATGGATTAATTGTTCACTGTGATTTTGTTTGACTATATATTTTTATTAATCCATAAGGGATTTGGGGATGTTTCCTTTATGCATTTGCACATATGGCATAGTTGTTACATAACTCATGCACTTATACAAGTTTTCAAATTTGTGAATCGAGTTAGAGCACCCATGGGTATTTTATTAAGTTAATGATAAGTTTATCACTTAGTAAGTGTACCTGCAATAAAAGGAATAATAGAAAACATTTTAATAAGTGATATTTCAAACCTGTACTTGTTTCATCAGGTTTCCTTCTGGATTTTGGAGATCCTGCATAAGTTCCTCTTTCATTGTCTTTAGTTTTCTAACAAGGTCTCGTTTCTCATTGAGTTCAGTCATGAAGGACCATTTGCTCTCTACCTCTCTCAAACTATCTTTATGTGCTTTTATTTTTGCATAGTATTCATTATATCTTATCATTTGTTCCTCAAAATCTTCTTGTGCTGCCTCTATGTCAAATTTAAGCTTCACATTTTCTGTATGTAAGGATTTGATTTGATTTTCCAGGTTTCCACAATGAAGTTTGGTATTCTGTATGGCAGCATCTTGCTGATATATTTGCCTTTCTGTTTCTTTAGTTTCTGCAGAGACAGATGCTATTTGTGTTTTAAGCTCATGAAGTTCATTCTGTAAGATATTTCAACATTATTATTATTAGTTCATGATATTCAACATGAAAGAAAAGTCATTGTTTTGATCCATACTGTGTGTAGAAAAATCACTTAACATAAAAAATATATATTTATCAGATACAGAAAAATTGATGCATAACAGGAGACATGTAATAAAGTAACAAAATTATTTTATAATCAGAGGGAGCCCAGGGTTATATATTTCTCATTTTTTAATGTTCATCTAATTCTAAATATTAAAATTTTATCCTTTGTCTTAACATTTTATATGTAAAAGATACTTTACAATCATTTTAATAATATATTTGTGGGCAATCAGAAGTACAAACTAAAGAAAAACTATATGATAAAAATGATAAAACCCTGAATTGAAAACACAAAAGATCTAGGTTCTAGTGTCCTTACTACTATTTACTAGTTGGGGTGATCATACATAGCAAACTTAATTACCCTATTCAAACCTCACTGTCTTCACTTGTAAGATGAGTTTAAAGGTATATTTAGCTTTGCCTCTCTGAGGCATTTGGCATTTCTAACCAGCACCTCCTTTTTAAAACCTACCGGCACTCTTCTCTGCTTCTCCTTAGATATCTCTGAGCATTGCTTTTCAATCTCGATGATTCCTTCAAATACAGGTTTTCCTCAGGGTGCAGTCATCATAATTTCCTCCTCTCATTCTGTATATACTCCTTGGGTAATCTTATCCATACTTAGATCTTGAGATACATATATGCTAATGATTCACAGAATATAAGTGGCTGTTAAGTCCTATACCCCGCTGCCACTGGCCATCTCAAATTCATCGTGTCCAAAAATCAGACTAATCCTCCCCTCCCCGATCCCATCCTGCTCTGCCTTGTATCAGTCACTTATTGTCAGAACCACAAAACCTCGGTGACCTATAACTAGTGTTTATTGCTCATGTGATGAGAAGCAACTGGGCTTGGCTAGGTGGTTCTGTTGACTTTGGTTGGATTTCCTCAAATGTCTGGAGGTTGGCTGGCTGTAAGATGATTTAGGTTGGCTTCAACTGGGCCAACCGGGGTGTCTTGGCTTTGCTTCACATGTATCTTATCCTCCAGTGGGCCAGGACAGGCAAGTCCTTCTCATGATGATAGCAGATGCAGAAGAATGGAAGCCCAATTATGGAACAACTTTTTCAAACTTCTGTTTGAATAACATCCCAGCTGGTCACATGACCAAATCTCAGTGGAGGGGTAGAAAGTATGTCCACCCATTATGGGAGGGCATTATAATGATAAATGGCAAAGGGTGTGGATATACACGAGGTTGAAGATTTGGGACTAAAAATGCAAATTACCACACCCCTATGTTCCCAAACTTAGTTAATGGTATTCCTTTGGGAGCCATATTTAATTCCTCCCTTCTCTTTTTTTTTTTTTTTTTTTTTTTTTTTTTTGCGGTATGCGGGCCTCTCACTGTTGTGGCCTCTCCCGTTGCGGAGCACAGGCTCTGGACGCACAGGCTCAGCGGCCATGGCTCACAGGCCCAGCCACTCCGCGGCATGTAGGATCCTCCCGGACCGGGGCACGAACCCGTGTCCCCTGCATCGGCAGGCGGACTCTCAACCACTGCGCCACCAGGGAAGCCCCTCTCTTCTCTTTATATTTAACTATTCATCAAATTCTGTAGATCCTCCCACCAATACAACTGTAGGCCTTTATCTTTTTTCTTCTATCCAGTATGGTCATCCTCTTTAAATGAATCTATAATTTGGGGAGGGAAGCACTTCACTAAAAAGGCAGACCCAGCCTATCCTTTTCTTGGCAGAGACAAGAGAGGGAAGTACACTGAAAAATACATCATGCTGATAAACTTCAATCTTTATCTCCAGCTCTAATATTTAAAATGCCCACTCAACAGTTCTATTTGGATATGTAATAGATGTCTCAACTACACAGGTTCAGGAAAGAACTTCTAATTTGCACACCCAACATGTTCCTCTTCCAGCTTTCCTGATTTCAATAAACTGTACCACTTTCCACCTGGACACTTAAAAACCTAGTAGTCGTTCTTGATTCTTCCCTTTACCTTAACCCCCACAACCTATTTACCAACAAATCTTGATGGTTGGGCCTCCAAAATATATAAAATCCCAGCTCACTTCTGACCAGTCTTTGTAGCATAGTCCAGCTTCCAACTGGTCTCCCTGTTTCTCCCTGCTTCTTCCTCTCCCCCAACTAGACTCCATTTTTCAGGCAGAAGAATCCTTTAAAAACATAAATCATATCATGCTACTTCCCTGCTCAAGATCCTGCAGTGGTTTTCCATTGCACTAATAATAAAATTCAAATTCTGTAATATGGCTTTTAAGGCCAAACATGCTCTAATCCCTATCCACTTTGCCATCCCTCTCGTGTACTACTCTCCCCACTTCCAGCTTCCTTTTGTTTATGAAATACGCCTAGTTCCTTCTCTCCTAAGGGCATTTGTAACTGTTCCCTGCACCTTAGAATTCTCTATCCCTAGCTATTACCTGCTGGGGTCTTTGTCTTTCACAATTCAGCTTTATTACTACTCCTCAGAACAGTCTTCCCTGAATCAAAATATAAATTAACTAGCCACCTTCCTCCCTGTTATTCTCTACACATCATCCTATTGTATTTCCTTTGTAAAACCTCAATCAATGGAATTGCTTTATATCTTTATTGCTTGCCTGCCTTAACTAGAAAGTAAACTCCATGGGTGCAGTAAACTTGTCTAACTTCTTTACCACCATCTTCCCTATAGTTAAAATAGTACCTGGCACAAAGTAGGTGCTCTATAAATATTTAATAAATGAGTGAATGAGTGATGTACATGGAATGGTCAGGAAAGGGACACATGACCTGTCAACTAGATCAGGCTCTTGACCCTATTGATCAATATGGGGAGATGACATTTACACTAATTTGGTCATCATCTCTTCTCTTTCTTAGACTAACATAACTAATAGACTGTTGACTTTTCTCCCTGGCTTTACTCAATTCCTCCTCCAATCCACTTCTACTCTTTCACTAGAATTTTATGTCTTCTTGTTGTTGCATCTCCCCCTCCTCCTGCTTCTCTTCCTCCTCCTCCTCCTCCCCCTCCTTCCTTCTTCCTTCTTTCCTTCCTCTTTCTCATCTCCCTCCCCCTCTTCTCCTTCCTTTCTTTGTTAATAGATTTATTGAAATATGATTGATATAAATAACTGCACATATTTAAACTTTACAATTTGATAAGTTTTGACTTACTTTTATGATCATGAGACTGTCACAATTAAGACAGTGAACTTATCCATTACCCACATGTCCAAATATCAGACATGTCCAAAAAAGTTTCCTCCTGATCCCTTGTGATCTATCCTTCCATCCTCAGCTCTCTGTTTCCAGGCAAACATTCACCTGCTCTGTCACCAAAAATTAGTTTGCATTTTCAAGAATTTTATATGAAAAGAATCATACAATATATACAATTTTAGTTTCATTCCTTTCACTCAGCCTAATTAGAGACTCATCCATGTTGTTAGATATATCAGTAGCTCTTTCTTTTTATTGCTGAGCAATATTTCTTATATGAATATACCACACTTTGTTTACTCATTCATCTGGTAGACATTTGTGTTGTTCCTGGTTTTCCAGTGGGCATACACTTTTATTTCTCTTGGGTAAATGAAGAGCTAGAAATTGAATGTATGGGTTATATGGTAGATGTATTTTAAACTTTTAACAAACTGTGTACTATTTTCTCAAATGGTACATCACTTACATTCCAAAATGATTGGGTCTGAGAATTCTAGTTCTTTTATATCTGCACCAGCACTTGGTATGGTCAGTCATTTTAAATTTACCCATTCTAGTGGGTATAGAATGAAATCTCATTATGATTTCAATTTGCATTTCTTTAATAATTGATACTGAGTATCTTTTCATGTGCTTGTCTTTTGCAATATCTTTTTGCATGAAATGACCATTGAAATCTTTTGCCCATTTTTAAACTGGGTTGTTTGCCTTCCTGAATTGTAAGAGTTCTTTATACAGTATAAATACATTCAAGTACATTGTCAGGTATGTTTTCAAGTATTTTCTCCCAGTCTATGACAACCCAAATGCCCATAGGGCCCCAGCAGGTATACCTCACATTCATTTTCATAACAGTGCCTTTTGAACAGAAATAAAAACGTTTTTTAATGAAGTCCAATTTAAAAAATTTTTGTGTACTATTTAAGAAACCTTTGCCAAACCCAGCATCACTAAGTTTTTCCTCCTATATTTTCTTCTAGATACTATGTACTTTCAATTCTTGTATTTAGGCCTATGATCCATTTTGAGTTAATTTTCATATACAGTATGAGGTGGAAATTGAAGTTCACTTTTTTTGCATGTAGCTGTCCTCCACCACTTGTTGAAAGATCATCCTTTCTCTAATGAAGTGCTTTGGCACCCATCTTAATCAGCTCAGGATTCTATTAAAAAAAACAAAAACAAAAACGGAGAAACACCATAGACTGGGTGGCATAAACAACAGACTTGATTTCTTACAACTCTGGAGGCTAGGAAGTCCAAGATCGAGGTGCAGCAGATTTGGTTACTGGTGAGAGGCCTATTCCTGGCTTGCAGACAAATGCCTTTTTGCTGTGTCCTCATATGGCAGAGAGAGAGGGAGGGAGAGGGGGGTGGAGAGAGAGAAGAGAGAGAGAGAGAGAGAGAGAGAGAGAGAGAGAGAGAGAGAGAGGGAGAGGGAGAGGGAGAGGGAGAGGGAGGGAGAGAAAGGGAGAAAAAAAAGCTCTGGGGTCTCTTTCTCTTCCTATAATCCCATCATAGGGCCCTCACCCTCACAACCTCATCTAAACCTATTTACCTCCTAAAAGCCTCACCCCCAAATACCATCACATTGGAAGGAACACAAACATTCTGTCCATGAGAGCACCTCTGAAATCAATTGTTATGTGTGGGGCTATTTCTGGATACTACTCTGTTCTGTTCCATGGATCTATATGTCTGTCTCTACGCCATGTTACACTGTCCTGATTACTGTACTCTATAATAAATCTCAAAGTCAGGTAATATTATGGGAGTTCCCTGGTGGCCTAGTGGTTAGGATTCTGGGCTGTCACTGCTGAGGGCCTGGGTTCGATCCCTGGTCAGGGAACTGAGATCCTGCAAGCTGTGTGGTGCAGCCAAAAAAAAACAACAACAAAGTAATAGTAGTACTTCCAACATTGTTCTTCACAGTTGTTTTGGCTACTATAGGTTCTTTGCATTTTGGAATTAGCCTGTCAATTTCTCTAAAAATTGCCTGCTGGGATTTTGATTGGAGCTGCTTTTAAACAATAGATAAAAGAGAAAGAACTCACATGTTAACAATACTGAATCTTATGATTCATGAAAATTGTATATCTCTCTATTTTGACCCTTAATTTCTCTCAGCAGTGTTTCACAGTTTTCAGTATACAGGTCTTACATATTGTCTTAGTTTGCTGGCGCTGCCATAACAAAATACCATAGACTTAGTGGCTAAAACAACAGAAATTTATTTCTCACAGTTCTGTAGGCTGGAAAGGGTGTCAGCATAGTCAGGTTCTGGTGAGAACGTTCTCACTGTGTCCTCACATGGCAGAAAGTAAGCTCTCTGGCGTCTCTTTTTATAAGGGCACTAATCCTATCACCAGGACCCCATTCTCATGACCTCATCTAAGCCTAATTACCTCCCAAAGACCTCATGTCCAGATACAACCACATTGGTGATTAAGGCTTCAACATATGAATTTTGGGGAGATACAAACATTCAGTCTATAACACAAAACTTTCATCAAATTTACCCCTAAGTATTTCATAGTTTTGATGTTACTGTAAATGATAATGCTTTAAAAACTTTAATTTCTGATAGTTTCTTTCAGTATATGTAAATACAACTGATTTTTATAATTAATCTTATCTTGCAACCTTTCTAAACTCCCTTATTAGTCCTAATAGCTTTTTAAAATAATAGATTCCTTAGGATTTTCCAGAAATAATCATGCTATCTGTGAATAAAAACAGTTTTACTCCCTCCTTTCCAATCTGGATGCCTTTTATTTCTTTTTCTTGCAAGGAGTGGCTTGAATTATCAGTACCGTAGAATGAAAAGAAGTGATAAGACACATGCTTGCCTTATCCCTGATCTTAGGAGAGAAATATTCAGTCTCTCCCTATTAGGTATGCTGTTGGCTGTAGGATTTATGTAGATGCCTTTTTTTAGTTGGCTGGAGTTCTCTTCTATTCCTAATTTGCTGGAAATTTTTATCTTAAATTGATGTTGGATTATAACAAGTATCTTTCATGCATCTAGAATTCTCTTTCTAAAACGTAAATTTAATCATTCACTCTTTTGCTTGAAGTCCATCAAAACCCTCCCATCACCTCTAGAATAAAGTTCAAGTTTTTTATCATGCTATACATCTCTTGTTGCTTCTCAAAATACATTCTATGTTATTCCACTATCAAACTACTTATAGTTCTATGAATGTACCAATTTTATTTCAGGACTCTGTGAGTTTTTTCAGGTTCTTTTTGTCTGGAATATCATCCTCCTCACCCCCCAACCCTCAAACGTATCCCAGACACCTAATCATTCAAGTGAACTCCGGATATTTTTTAAAACTCCACCAATCACTCCTCTTTCAGTGTTAAACCTGTGTTTACGCTTCTACTGTTGACGCCACTTCCTTGCATGTAATTATTTGTTTACTTATTTGTCTCCCTCTTTAATAGATGGTGAGTAGTGTAAAAGTGAGGACTATATTCAGAAAAATGCTTAATAGAAATTAGGCCCTCAACATAAGTGAAATGACATCAGTAAAACTCTTTGAAGATTGACAATCTTTATAGAAAATTTCTTTATAGAAATCTAAGACATTATTATCTTCGTATTGTATCCTATTGTCAACGTGTATTCTTTTCTGAAAGTGACTAATGCAATGCAAATACTTATAAGAAATCTATATCACCACAAAGGTATAATTATTATCATCATATCTCTGTTGATGCATTAATACCTAAAGCCATTATCAAAATCTGGTCCCATACTGCCTACCAGGGCCCCAGAAAGGATATCTTACATAATGTTTACAAGTATTATTTCATTTAATTGTCATGAAAACCTTACAGGCAGGTCTTATTATTATCTCCATTTTACAAATGAGAAAAGAGAAGCATGGAGAGATTAAACCATGGAACCGGAAGTAGCAAATCTCTTCTTTCAAACTAGGCAGTTCAGCTCTAGAGCAGCAGTGCCCAACCTTTTTGGCACCAGGGACAGGTTTCATGGAAGACAGTTTTTCCTCGGCCTAGGGTGGGAGACTGGGGGGAGATGGTTTCGGGATGACTCAAGCGCATCACATTTATTGTGCACTTTATTTCTATTATTATTACATTGTGATATATAATGAAATAATTATACAACTCACCATAATGCACAATCAGTGGGAGCCCTGAGCTTGTTTTCACTTGTCACTCACTGATAGGGTTTTGATATGAATCTGCAAGCAATTGATTTATTATGGTCTCTGTGCGGTCAAACCTCTCTGCTAACGATAATCTGTATTTACAGATGCTCCCCAGTGCCTCAGCTCCACCTCAGATCATCAGGCATTAGATTCTCATGAGGAGCGCACAACCTAGATCCCTCGCATGCGCAGTTCACAGTAGGGTTCGCGCTCCTATGGGAATCTAATGCCACCACTGATCTGACAGGAGGCAGAAAGGTAATGTGAGCAATGGGGAGCGGATGTAAATACAGATGAAGCTTTGCTCGCTCGGCTGCTGCTCACCCCCTGCTGTGTGGCCCAGTTCCTAACAGGCCACAGATTGGTACCTGTCCGTGGCCCAGGGGCTGGGGACCCCTGCTCTAGAGCATATTCTTTTCATTTCTATGTTATATTTAATTTAAAAACCTTTAAAAATTAAATACACTTTTAATTTTTGCTCCTTTAGCTATATTAACAGAGAACAGTTATGTCTAATTATGCTGAATACAAAAACAAGTATGGCTTCCAGATGCCTGTGGTGGAATTATGAACATATTTTGAAATTTAAGGAACACAGAAATGTTCCTTACCTACCTGAAATGTTCACCGGCAACTAGTAATTCATGAGCCGTAGCTTTAAGAACACAGGCTTAAAAACTTAACCTTCTTTCAATTCAGAATTTTAGGAAAAACTATCAAATAGAGTGAATTTAAAATAATTCTATGTGACATATTTTTTATGCTTATTTATAGTCACAATGACATTGTTGAATGTTTGCACACTGGATGTGTAAAATGTTCCATGAAACTGGAATACTCATGTAGACTTTACTTAGGGATACCAGAATAATTTAGAAGGTGTAAATATGAAAAACAGACATTTTAAGTTGCCTCCTCAGAGTTATTAAGTTATGCTTAATAACTTCCCTGTTACAAATTTAATATAGCTTTGAAGAACATAAAGACTCATTTAAAAGACTGTGTGAAATAGGTTACCTGCAAATTGAACAGAACTTTTTTGTTTTTTTCTATTTCTGATGTTTGTGATTGTTGTTGCTGTGCAACTTGCTCGACAGCATCAGTTAATGAAGATGTGTCTTGTTTAGCCAGAGCTAGACAAAATAAAGTACATAATAAAAATCTAAATGCAAACATTCTAAGAAACATGTTTCTTCACTCAAAGTCATGAAAACTGTTATGTTTTCTCAAAAATAAACTAAATTTAGGGTTGGTACTCTTCCTTTTTGACTACAAACAAAACCAAAATCAAAGGCCATAAAAACGGACAATTCAAAGTCACCTACTGCAATATTATACCTGTTACTTTATGGAACAGTATAAATATTTTGATTGTCCTAAAAATTTTTATCTAGACCATTTGCACATATACTACAATTATAGTGGTACCATAACCATTTCTCAATTGCAGTTGATGAATTTTCATTATAGGCCTGCATTTCAGGTTGTTATACTTTTTCTAAACATTCTATAAGTTTCCTCCTGGTAAACTTCAACAGCTTCCCTCTATTCTAATTTGCTACTAATTTTAACACAATTATCCTAGCATACTACTTTTTTGTTACCGCTCATCTTTTAGTTATATATTTCTGAAGATAGCTTCATTACCTTCTTCAGGAACTCCTTGACTCTTCCTTTCTTCATTGCCTGACATTCTTGTGTCTCTTTTCCCCTTTTTAGGTCACCTTCTTTACTCCTACAAAATAATCAGTGTAGACAATCTTTCACTTTTCTTTTTTTTTTCCGTCATGTATGAGTGATCCTGAAAGTAAATTAACTGTCAAATATCTCACAAGGATGACAATGACATTCGTCATCAGCTCCAAGAATTAAGATACAATGACTGAGTGAGAGATTTGGGGAAAAAGTGGAACTGTCCTTCCATCTTGGTTGTCCTGCTTTTCAGCTGTTATGACCCTGGGAAGTTTCTTAATTTCTTTGCTCATCAGTGTCCTCATCCATAAAACCTCATAGGGCTGTTGTAATAATTAATGTATGTAACATGCTTAGCACAGTAACTGACATAGAGTGAGTAACTCATTATTCTGGATTAGTAGCTAGTACCTCTAGAACTATTATGAAATGGATTCTAAAACTATAACCAGAATCTGTGAAAAACAGTGCCAAGATGAACTAGCAACTTCTGTCATGGGTATAGGATGCAGGGAATATGGCACTCCTGTGTAAAAGGCCAGGGTAAGCCTTACACAAGTTTAAAATCACCATTCAATCTCTTCTATACGTAGGAGAAACGGATGAGATGAAGGGGTAGATTTTTTTTCTCCCCTGAAAGATGGAGAGAAAGAGTTCTTTCCTGTACCAGCGCAACAAATGAATGCTGAGTTGGCAGAGTTAAAGGCACTACCAGTCTTTGGAAAAAGAGTATCTGATTTTGCCCGTCCATTCCTATACAAAAGAAATCATACAATTTTGCATGATTAATAAAAGGAATGTAGTGTTCCTGCTTAACATTTGAACATATGGATTTTTCTTTTTAGATGACATCCTTTTAAAAACATCTTCTCCCTAAAACCACCTAGTTTCTCTGAGGTTCATGCCATCATTAGCTTCAGATGAGTAAAGTAAGAAAAAGTAAAAAGTAAAGTAATGTAAGCTTTTCTCTTCCTTATTGTTATCAGTTGACTTCTAAATCTCTACCCTTCACTCCTAGATTACAGTATCTGACTTACTGTGTCTCTATTACTACTTTTTAAAATATTTCTTTTGAATTTCAACATCCACACAGGTGGTACTTTTAATACCCTGACTTCTCAGTTCTTTGATATTTTTCCTTATCCATCCTCCCCAGCCACCCACAGAGTATCACTACACCTCATCCATAATCTCAGATTCAAACACATTTTTCAGCTCATCCCTCCTAGTATTTTGACTGTAAGAGCTGTTCGACCACATTGACTCTTCTACCTTTGCATGGTCCCTTAGCCTCTCATGTACTCACGTCACTTACCCAGTTTAGATTCCTTTGCATTCAACCTCACTTTTTTTGTACCGCTCTCTCCCTGTCCTATCCTACTTCCCTGGAAAAATTCCAACCAGTTGCTCTGCTTACATACTAGTAGCTGAATACGCCTCAAGAAAAGCACACACCTGTGCTGTGGTCTCACTTAAAATTCAAGACACTTTATGTCAAGTGGGCCCTTGATGCTAGGCCCCTAGGATTCATTAAGTTTCATGGATGATTATTTCATTCCTTCTTCTCTGTCTTAAACCTCCCACATCTCTTTCCCCCCTCCTCTTTCAGTTGATAACCCATCTTCTTATTTAACTGAGATAGTAGGAAAATATCAGAGAGGGTGGTAAATCACCCCATCTACCAGTCTTCCTGGACCTATACCTATATACTAGTCTATTCTTTTCTTGAAGTGAATAAAGTGTACTTGCTCTGACCTAGGGCTAATCCTCTACTTCTGTACCCCTTCCTCTCCTACTCAGGGACATTGCTCCTTCAAACGTCCCATCAATAGAATTTCCTCCTTTATTTGGTCAAACATATTATCCTGGACAGCCTATCGTATAATCATCAACAACAATAACCACTTTTGCTTGACACTTCAATCTCTTTCAGCTATTGACCCCTCTCTTTGCTCTCCTTTAGAGCCAAGATCCTTTCTGTCTACTTCCTCTCCACCAATTCTTCTTGAACCCCCCCCCAGAATTAATCGTTTACAACTCTAAAGTTCTTATCAAGGTATCTATGACATCCACATTGCCACTTCAATGGCAAGTTTGGTCCTCATCTTCCTTAACGTATCCATGTCATTTGACACATTTGATCATGCCCTCCTCCTTGAAACAACATACTTCTTGGTTTCCTTTGCCGGCTCCTCCTCACCTTTCTCATTTACGTTAGAGCGCCCTAGCACTCAGTCCTCAGGCCTCTTATTTTCTCTAAACTTACTCTGCAGGTAATGCCAACCAGTTCTATGGCTTTAAACTCCCCTTATAGGCTCGTAACTCCCAAATTCATACCCCTAACGTGACATCCCTCTTGAGCTCCAGACTCATACACAATTTCCTACCTGATATTTCCACTTGAATTTTTTATAGGCATTTCAACTTACTATGTTCCAAACCGAACTCTTTATGTCTCTGTCCACTCCATCACTACCCCTAAACCTGCTCCTTCATGGTCTTCTCCAACCCAGTAAATTATAAGTTCATTTTTCTTATTCACACTCAAAACTCTAGAACATTGTCAGGGAGGTATCTAGAAGGGTATAGAGCCCAAGGCAATTTAATCAGCCTTGCCCAAGATAATCATAAATGAGAGCTCATTGTTGATGTTCCATAGACCCTTTGGGAAATCATTTGAGATATTCGCCAAGTATGTGGCCCAAGACTGCTGCCCCAATTGTTTTACCCAATAGACAAATCAGAATCTTGACTCTTTTCTTTCTCTTACATGCTGCATGCAATTCTTTTGGCAAAACTCACTGGTTCCACCTTTAAATTATATTGGAATTCAACCACTCCTTACCTCTTCCAAATACTATCTTAGCTAAGAAGGCTTCCCTGATAATCCCTCTAAAACATGACCTTCACCCCCCATTTCCTTACCCTGCCTCATTTTTCTTAACAGCATTTAACACTTTTATCATTTTCCTTTTTTATTTCCTTTTACAAATGTAAGCTCCATGAGGGAAGAGACCTAGAACAGTGCCTGGAACATAACAGGTGTCTAACTATAGTCTATCTCCACTTCAATTGACCCTGTTCTACTGACAGAATAATGCTTCTGAAACACTGTTCTGATCACATCAAATAGCAACCAATCTTTCAACTCCACCTTAGATGCATCTTCTTTAAGAAGTTTTTCTTGATCTTTCTGGGTAGATATGATCTCTCTCTCTCTTTTTAGTACAGTTGTTTCTATATCTCTATTATACCAAGATAGATAACAGTCTAGGGTTACTCAGGGTAAGATAGGGCTAATCTTGAATCTAGGTTGTGCCACTTACTAGTTTATTAGGCAAATTCTTTCCAACCTGAGCCTCAGATTCCTTGTCAATAATAGTACCTTCCTCGTTAGATTTTTGTGAGGATGAAGTGAAATAATGAATATAACGCATTTAGCAAATTCCTGCTACTCAACAATTTCTATTCCTACTGTTTACATTATTTTATACTATATTTCCCTATTAGACTATAAGCTCCAGGAAGTCTTACTCATTTTTGTATTCTTTAAAGTATTTGATGAAGAAACCAAAAAAAAAATTAAGAAAATTAGATTTATACAATAAAAAATAAAGTAACTGGTACTTCTTGATATCTATTTCTGAAGCAGCATAAATTGAAGAACTCTTGGGTGATATTTATTTAAACCAGCTATTCATGAAAGGATATCTGGTTTAAAATTGAGGAAGTTTTCATTTTTTCTGGATCTCTACTGTAGAATGGACAAAAAATAAAAATGAAAACAAACTACTGCCATCTACTGATAATTCATTACAATTGCATAAATCAATAAAAACAAGAGTTTAGAGACTAGACAGTATTAATTATTCTTTCATTCAAACCATGTATGTCGGTACATATTATATACAAAGCATTGTGGGAAATATAAATATGAATTGACTGATTAATAAAAAACACCTTATACTACCTATAGTATTTGATAGTAAATATCCAAATATTACTTATAAAAAAACATTTAGGCAAAACACTCTCAACTAAAAAAGTAGCTTTAGGGCTTCCCTGGTGGTGCAGTGGTTGGGAGTCCGCCTGCCGATGCAGGGGACATGGGTTCGATCCCCGGTCCGGGAGGATCCCACATGCCGCGGAGCGGCTGGGTCCGTGAGCCATGGCCGCTAAGCCTGTGCGTCCGGAGCCTGTGCGCCGCAACGGGAGAGGCCACAACAGCGAGAAGCCCACGTACCGCAAAAAAAAAAAAAAAAAAAAAAAAAAGTAGCTTTACAGAAAACAATGCAATGGAAATACTATAAACCACCATGTTCTATATTAACTATAGCCAACATTTACTAATTACTATAAGTACTTTCACATAGACTATCTGTTTTAGCCTTCAGAGCAATCCTATAAGCTAGACATGATTTTTACCTATATTTTGTAAATGAAGAGACTAAGACTTCGAGAAATAAGGAAATTCGCCAAAGGTCATACATCCGAGCAGGAAGGATGAAATCTGAAGCACTTAGGATCCAAATTAACATTTATTAGGTATTTAGTATGCACTAAAGCATTGTGATGAGCATGATTTTTGTGCACCATCTCATCTGAATTCGAGGCGGGTGCCTGTAATTGGCCCTTGGGAGGAGATTTTAAAAAGGCCATGGCTTGAGTTTTTGGAAACTCATCGTCTTCAAGTTAATGAGCAAAATAAAGCAAGGCTATCAAACTCCCCTAGGGTTTTGAGAGCTTCAGGCTTAAAAGAATCAAGACGAGGCAACTGTCCATGTGCGCCCATGTCACATAAGCACCATTTTTCATCCTGAATGGAAAAAGCTGCTATGTGGACCTGCCAAGCAGTTTAAGTAGTTAAGTTTATAATCACCTCCTACCCCCTTTAGAACATACATTTGATCAGAAAACAAGGAAAGAAAAATTACTTAATTTTCACATAAGTGTGAAATTGCTTTTGTTTTTGTTTTCCAAGTGGGAGGGGGAGTTTAATAT